CCCCTACCCACACCCCTGGCTTCTCTCCCACTATAAAAGCTCTTTCATGCCTCCTTTATGTGAGATAATTTACCCCCTTCTACTCTCTCTTCCCTCTTCTCCCAGGTCATCTCTCTTTCATACCCCTTAATTTTATTTTTTTGGATATCATTCCTTCATAGTCAACTCACACCTATGCCCTCTGTCTATGTATATTCCTTCTAACTGCCCTAATAATGATAAAGTTCCTAAGAGTTACAAGTATCATCTTTCCATGTAGAAATGTGAACAATTTAGCCTTATTGAATACATTATGATTTTTTTCCTATTTACCTTTTTATTCTTCTCTTTAGTATTTGAAAGTCAAATTTTCTATTCAGCTCTGGTCTTTTAATCAGGAATGATTGAAAGTCCCTTATTTCATTAAATATCCATTTTCCCCCTGAAAGATTATGTTCCATTCTGTTAGGTAGGTGATTCTTGGTTGTAATCCTAGCTCCTTTGCCTTCTAGAATACCATATTCCAAGCTCTCTGATCTTTTAAATGGAAGCTGCTAAATCTTGTGTTATTCTGACTGCAGCTCCATGATATTTGAATTGTTTCTTTTTTTTTGTAGTTACAATTTTATTTTATTTTATTTTATTTTTTACAGTATTTTTTTTTATTTTTATTTTTCAACATTTACTTGCACAAGATTTTGAGTTCCAAATTTTCACCCCATCTCACCACGCCCCTCTCCCCAAGATGGCATGCATTCTGAATACCCCTTCCCCTAGTCTGCTTTCCCTGCTGTCTCTCCCCCCCTTCCCCTTCTATTTTCCTGTAGGGCAGTATAGATTTCTGTACCCCATTTCCTGTATTTCTTATTTCCCAGTTGCATGTGAAAACATTTTTTTAAACATGTGTTTTTTAAACCTTGGGTTCCAAATTTTCTCCCTTCCTCCCTCCCCACCCACCCTCATTGAAAAGGCAAGCAACTCAGTATAGGCTGTACATGTGCAGTCATGCAAGACACTTCCATAGTAGACATGCTATGAAAAAACTAACTCTATTTCCCTTAATCCTATCCCACCCCCCTCATTTATTCTATTCTTTCTTTTGACCCTGACCCTCCTCAGAAGTACTTGCTTCTGATTACCCCCTTTCCCAATCTGCCTTCCTCTCTATCATCCCCCTACTCTCTTGTCCCCTTCCCCTCCTATTTTCCTGTAGGGTAAGACAGATTTCCATACCAATTGAGTGTGTGTTATTCCCTCATTAAGTCAAATCCTATGAGAATAAGATTCACTCATTTCCTCTCACCTTCCCCCGGTTCCCCTCCACTGTAAGAGCCTTTTCTTTTCTGGTTTTTTTTTGTGAGATAATTTACCCCATTCTACCTTTCCCTTTCTCCTTCTCCTAGTATAATCCTCTCTCACCCCTTAATTTTATTCTCTAGACATGACCCCTTCATTTTCAATTCACCTTCTGCCCTCTATCTATCTATCTATCTATCCATCTATCTATCTATCTATCTATCTATATATACGTACATATAATTTTTTCCCCTCCAACTACCCTAATACTGACAAAGGTCTCATGAGTTACAAATATCTTTCCATGCAGGAATGTAAACAGTTTAACCTTAATAAGTCTCTTATGATTTCTCTTTCCTGTTTACCTCTTCATGTTCCACTTGAGTCTTGTATTGGAAAGTCAAATTTTCTATTCAGCTCTGGTCTTTTCATCAAGAATGCTTGAAAGTCCTCTATTTCACTGAATAGCCATTTTTCCCCCTGCAGGATTATACTCAGTTTTGCTGGGTAGGTGATTCTTGGTTGTAATCCTATCTCCTTTGCCCTCCGGAATATTATATTCCATGCCCTACAGTCCCTTAATGTAGAAGCAGCTAAATCTTGTGTTATCCTGATTGTGTTTCCACAATACTTGAATTGTTTCTTTCTGGATTCTTGTAATATTTTCTCCTTGACCTGGGAACTCTGGAATTTGGCTACAGTATTCGTAGGAGTTTTCCTTTGGGGATCTCTTTCGGAAGGAGATTGGTGGATTCTTTCAATTTCTATTTTGCCATCTGGTTCTAAAATATCAGGGCAGTTTTCCTTGATAATTTCTTGAAAGATGATGTCTAGGCTCTTTTTTTGATCATGGCTTTCAGATAGTCCAATAATTTTTAAATTCTCTCTCCTGGATCTATTTTCCAGGTCAGTTGTTTTTCTAATGAGATATTTCACATTGTTTTCTAATTTTTCATTCTTTTGGATTTGTTTTACAGTGCCTTGATTTCTCATAAAGTCACTAGCTTCCAATTGCTCTATTCTAATTTTTAAGGAAGTATTTTCTTCAGTAAGCTTTTGGACTTCCTTTTCCATTTGTCCAATTTTGCTCTTTAAGGCATTCTTTTCTTCATTGGCTTTTTGGACCTCTTTTGCCATTTGGGTTAGGCTATTTTTTAAGGTGTCATTTTCTTCAGTATTTTTTTGGGTCTGCTTTAGCAAGCTGTTAACTTGTTTTTCGTGATTTTCTTACATCACTCTCATTTCTCTTCCCAGTTTTTCCTCTACTTCTCTTACTTGCTTCTCAAAATCCCTTTTGAGCTCTTCCAAGGACTGGGACTGATTCATATTTTTCTTGGAAGTTTTGGATGTAGGAGCTTTGACTTTGTTTTCTTCTTCTGGTTGTATGTTTTGATCTTCTTTGTCAACAAAGTAAGATAATATAGTCTGACTCTTTTTGCACTGCTTGCTCATGATCCCAACCAATTACTTGAGTTTTAAACTCTTTGTTAAGGTAAGAGTCTGTTTCTAATGTGGAGAATGTACTGTTCCAAGCTTTGGGGGTTTATACAGCTGTTTTCAGAGATACTTCTAGGGACCTGAACATTTTCAGTTCTTCCAAGGTGCTATGATAAGGGGCGAGGTGTCTCCTCTCCACAGCCACAACAAGCTCCACCACGCCAGCACTCCTCCTCACCCCAGAACTGCCCCTCAGAACTGTGATCCAGATCCAAGCACAGGCAAAGCAAGAGATTCCTGCCTCAGCACTGGCAAAGAGATCCTTGCAATCCCCCTCTTATCAGCTACTTGATTCCCCCTCAATCTGTGGGCTGGAAGCTCAGAAGTCAGCCGTTGCCCTCGGGGCAGCTGAGCTCTAGCTTCTTCTCTCACAGCAATAACAGACTTTCCCCATTGACCTTCTAAGTTGTCTTTGGCATTCGTGGGTTGAGAAGTTTGGAAACTGCCACAGCTGCTCGTGATTCAGTCCTCTGAGGCCTGCTTTAGGGTCACTGCGGCCTGCGCGCCCATGCCTAACTGCGCTCCTCTCCCAGCCCGGAGTGACATATCTTTCTGATCAGCCATCCAGGTTGTCTTGGGCTGGAAATTTGTTTTACTCTGTTTTTTTGTGGGTTCTGCTGCTTTAGAATTTGTTTAGAACCATTTTTTGTAGGTATTTGGAGGGGTTTGGGGGAGAGCTCTAGCAAGTCACTGCTTTCCCTCTGCCATCTTGACTCTGCCCCCTTGAATTGTTTCATTCTGGCAGCTTGAAATATTTTCTCCTTGATTCTCTAGAATTTGGCTATAATATTTCTGGGTGTTTCCATTTTGGGGCCTCTTTCAGGAGGTGATCAGGAGACTCTTTCAATTACTATTTTACTCTCTAATTCTAGGATATTAAGGCAGTTTTCCTTGATAATTTCTTGAAATGTACTGTCTAGGCTCTCTTTTGTTTAATCATGGCTTTCAGGTAGTCTGATAATTCTTAAATTATCTCTTCCTGATCTATTTTCCAGGTCAGTTGTTTTTCCAATGAGATATTTCACATTTTGTTCTCTTTTTTCATGCTTTTGATTTTGTTTTATTGTTTCCTGATATCTTATGGAGTCATTAGCTTCCACTTGCCCAATTCTAATTTTTAAGAAATTATTTTATTCAGTGAGCTTTTGTACCTCCTTTTCCATTTGACCAATTCTGCTTTTTAAGGAGTTCTTCTCTTAATGAATTTTTGTGCCTCTTTTGCCATTTGGCCTATTCTGTTTCTCAAGGTATTATTTTCTTCGATATTTTTTTTTGTGCCACCTTTACCAAATTGTTGACTCGTTTTTCACGATTTTCTTGCAACATTCTCATTTATTTTCCCAATTTCCCTCTATCTCTCTTACTTGATCTTTAAAATCCTTTTTGAGCTCTTCCAGGAATTTTTTTCCCGGGGGGGGCGGCTCTAGACCAATTCATACTTTTCTTTGGGGTTTTGCATGTAGCAGTTTTGACATTGTTGTCTTCTTCTGAGTTTGTGTTTTGATCTTCCCTGTCATCATAGTAACTTTCTATGGTCAGTCCTCTTGTTTGCTCATTTTTCCAGTCTATTTCTTGATTTTTTTAAAATTAAACTTGTAGTTTTATTCAGGTTTGATTTTTGACAAATGTGTCAGAGAGAAAACCGCAAGGAGGGGTAGGGTCCATGGGTGCTAGGGGCCCTCCTGGATGCCTGAGGAGGGGAATAGCACCCCTCCCCACTCCTGTCCCTTCTCCCACTAAAGAGATTTGGAGTAGATGGGGCACAGGCAGATGGGGGGGGGTCTGGTCCCTTGTTGGAGGAGGGAGTGGTGCTAGGTGAGGTATACGAAACCAGGGGACCAGACAGGATAGGTAGGGAGAGTGGGCAGAGAATTTTTGCCAGAATTCAGAATCCATAGCTTTTTGCTTCCAGATTGAATAATAAAAAAGAAAAAAAAAAACTAAATCTCAAGGAACCCCCATCCCCTCTCCCCTCCCAGGGCTGTAGTGTGAGGTGGGGGAGAGAAGGAAGCAGTTTTACCAAGGCCCTGCCCCTATCTTGTCCAAAAGGTTGGGGGAGATAGGGCTGGACTAAAGGGGTGGGGGTGGGGGGAGCTCCCCGGATTGAGAGGAAAAAAAAAACAAAATAAAACATCAAAGAAATAGAGTAGGCATCCAGCCAGGGTGGGGCCAAAGCCTGACCACGCTGGGGAGGAAAGGGAAGGCCTCTTCAGACACTGATCGCTGCTGCTGCTGCAGCCACCACCACTCTGAGGGCCAGTTACTTTGCCATGGCCTTGATTGCAACAGCTGCTTCCTCTGTCATGGCTGACAGCACCATTATCAGGATCTCTTCTCCACAATCATACTTCTGCTCAATCTCCTTGCCAAGGTCACCCTCAGGTAAACAAAGGTCCCCCCTCACCTCCCTACTGTCCTGAAGCAGTGACAGGTGGCCATCCTGAATCCCTATCAGCTGGAAATCATTTCTCTTGATATTGGGCATATCCACGTTGTGGGTTGAAGGGCAGATATCTTCATATCTCTTCCCAGTAAAGATATCAATACCAACCAGATGAACCTTGGCATGGCCATGCTTTCCAGTCTTGGAGGTGGACATCTCAACTATCTTACAGGGCCGGCCTTTGAGCACCACAAAGCCATTCTTGCATAAGGCAGAGCACTGCATGGGAAAGGTAGCTGATGCCCCTGCATCCCCTGTCTCAAAGTCCAGGTCATCTGCCATTTTGAGAGACTTCTATTCCAACTCGTGTGATCGTACCAACGGGACCCCCGTCCGCCCACTACAAGTTCAACAGCTACTGCCAAGCCTACTGCTGCCGCTGCCGCTACCACTGCTACTCTATTTCTTGATTTTTAACTTTAACAAAAGTTGTGCTCTGCTCCTGGGTTAGAGGGGGCACTGTTTTCAGCTTCAAGTTTTTCATGCTGCTATTTTCAGAGCTAGTTCTAGGGGTCTCTAAGTTTTCAGTTCTTACAAGGTGGTAAGATCTAAGGAGAGGTGTGGTGACTGCTCTCCTGGCCTGTACTCTGATTTGTGAGTGACTATTCACATTCTTTTCTGCCCTGGAACTCATTATTGCTAGTTCTCCTCCTCACCCTGGGAGTGCAACCTGGAACCATGTATGAGCATGCAACAGAGCCCTTCTCCTAGTTCCAGCAAAGGATCCCCTATAAGCTCCTTTTGACTGCTTGTCTGACCCCCTTATCATCTGTGAGCTGAGAGCTCTGGAAGACACCCTTCCAATTTAGTTGCCTCCAAAGCCTCCTGTTGGCTGGTTGGGGTACAGTTTGTGCTGACATGGCCTATGCTGGACTGCATTCCACTCTCATCCAGTGAGACAGACCTTTCCTGCTCACCTTGTAAGATGTCTTGGCCTGGAACACACCATCCTTTTGTTCTGCTGCTTCAGAATTTGTTTTGAGGCATTGTTTTAACATTGTTTGGAGGGGAATTTGGGAGAGCTCAGGTGAGGGTCCCTGCCTTTATTCTGCCATGTTGGCTCTGCCCCTCCAGAGTATTTTTAAGACATAAGAATTCCAACTCTAGTAACCCTTAGTTTCCTTCAAGACTTAGTCCAAGTACTGCCTCTCATACAAAGCCTTTTCTGATGGCCTCAGTTCTTAGTTCTTTCCTTTCTTCTTGCAAGACAGCCACGAGGAAATAGGAGTGCACTGGGAAGATGTCAATTTTCCTTGGAACTACAGATATCCTTACATAAGCACTGTGGGGAGCAGGCAAGGCCAAGCTCAGTTTAGATGCGGCTGGGCCTGGCAACAACAGAGAATGTTCAGAGAGGCAGCCTGGCATAATAGAAAGATGCTGAGAAGTCTCTTTTCTGCTTCTAATTCACTATGTGACACTGGGTAAGACATTGTATTTCTCTGGGCCTGTTTCCTCCTTTGTAGAATCTGAAGGTTTTGCTAGATGACCTCTAAGTTTGCCGCCAGCTCTAATGTTTTATACTTCTTTGGATTCAGGTTCTTAAATAAGAAATCCATCTAAAATAATAGCTTTTCTTATGGGACAGTGAAGGTAGAAGCACCTGCACTCTATCTATACATTAATTTCACAGAGTAGAAATAAACATAGTCCTAAGTGATGGATTTGCTAATTGAATGGATATTATCATTAAATAATTTTTTTGTTTATTTCAATACTTCCAATGAATAAATTCCCTTACTGATGTGCTTACTCCTCCCATTGAGGCAATCCTCCCCCACACACACACCATCTCATTCTGAGATATTCCTATCCATGCATGTGCATAAATTTGCTATAGAGGATCTACCTAAGTAACCTGAAACCTTCATCTTTGTTATCTCTGAGATACCATTCTAGTGCTCAGGCTACAATCTGTTATCCTTCACTATCCTTGCATAGCTAGTTTATTGTTTGGCCTTCAAATCCCTTTACAACCTGGCCCCTTCCTACCTTTCTAGGCTTCTTTCATCTAATTCCCCTTCATATACTCTGTGACCCAGTGATATTGGCCTCCTTGCTGTTCCACTCAAACAACACCACATCCCCTGACTCAAGGAATTTTTTTTTTTACTCCAGGAACTTTCACTGGCTATCCCCACAGCTAGAACACTGTCTTCCCTCCTCTCTGCCTCCTAGCTTCCCCGGCTTCCTTCATATCTCAATTAAAGTTATACCTACTGCAAGAAGCCTTTCCTAGCCTTTAATCTTCGTGCCTTCCCTCTGAGATCACCCTCAATTTAACTTTAGACAGCTAGGTGGCACAGTGAACAGAGCATTGGGCCTACAGCATGTATGCCATAACCTTAGAAGTATGCATTCTTCATTCCTGAATAGATGGCTAAGCCAATCATGTTAGTGTTATTGTAGTATTCCTTGGCTCAGTGCAATCAGCACAATGTCCTAGAAACAGGAACATCTGTAGAAACTATCAATGGATAAACCTAATATACAGATGGGAACATATAATGTCTTTGTTATTTCATACTCTATAGACTATTGCCTAGTATATGCATATATATTAGGGACTGTGTTATATGCTCAGTCTATAGACTTAGGCTTACATGACATTAAGTTTTTTTTTTTTTTTTGTCATTTGGTAGGGCTTGCTTTGCAAAATCACTTATGGGAGAAATAAGTATCTGAGTATGTTTAAATGATATTTTAAAGAGGGAAAGTAGGAACCAGAATTGGATTTGCTGAAACAATGAGCAGCTCAAAATTTCTAAACCACATCTTGACATCTACGTTTGAATGATCAAGATTAGTCTTTTTCTTCCCTTTTCCATTGGCCTCTCATGAATGGTGGTTACAAGGTATGAACCTCTTGGCTTCTCTCCAGGAAAATGGAACTCTAAATTATTTTTGTTGGATAGGATCTTATTCAAGGAGTATGTTATTCCCCAGGTCACTGAGGTGAAGGTGCTGTTCTTGTATAGTCTGATGCTGCTACCATCCTACCATCAGTAGGATGTGAGATCTGATCTGTTTTGGATTTATTATTTTTTTTTGAAGTAGTGATGGTCTATGGTGGCCGATCCATATACTCTCACCCAATCCTCCTTGTGACCAATGGCACACATTTGTAAGACGGCTGGCTGAGGATAAGAGGCTGTAATCCTAGAAGGGAGTTTTTCTCCACTTGAAGCTAATTGGCCATACAGGATGGAAGCCATGACCCTAGCCTCATTAGCCACATGCTTGGACCAGCTGAGCTAGCTGGCTCTAGGTCACTAGGGTACCATGTAGGAAATTATCATTCTAGTGCTCTACGCCACCCTAGTGACCTTAGTTAATGAATCTCCCATGGTGACTAATGGACGCTTGGGGAGTAAGTAACCCCACCAGCAGTATAAGACCCAATGATATATTGAAGCTTTAGCACAGTAAAAGCCAATGGAGGCAATTAGGACAAAGGGGGCCTTGGAAAAAACTTTCCAAAAAGGTTAAGCTTCTAGAAGCAGAATTGAAGTAGTCAACAGTCAATCCTACTCCCTTCCTCTAGACACTGGGCAATTTGCAAGGTCTAGAGTAAGAAGCAAGGTAGAGAGCTCTCCTTTATGGTTACTTATATGTGGATATAAAGGTAGCACAGTCATGAAGTCATTGTGAGGAACAAATGGGCTAATGTCCATAAGACTCTTTGCAAAACTTCAAGTATTTTGTAACATCGGCATCCTTCTGCTCACTCAGGTCCACCATCTTGGAGTAATCCTTGACTCGCCTCTCTCCCTCAAATCCCATGTCCATTTAGTTTCAAAGTCTTGTCATTTCTGTGTCCATGACATCTGCATCTGCTCCCTTCTTTCCATTCACTGGTCACCATGCTAGCTCAGGCTCTCATCACTTCTTTCCAAGACTATAGAAATACCTTCCTAACTGGTTTCCCCTGCTCCAATTTCCAGTTCCCTTTCCAATTCACCCTTCACACAATTGCCAGACTGATACTGCTAAAATGCAGATCTGACCATGTCATTTCCCTGCTCAGAAATCCTCAGTGTCTCCCTATTGTCTCTCTAGTCTTCTTATACCTTATATCCTCCCTCCCACATACTTTGAAATCCAATGATACTGGCCTTTGTTGTTCCTCAAATAAGACACTCCAAATTTCTGACCCTGGGCATTTTCACTGCATGTCCCCCATGCCTGGAATTCTCTCCCTCCCCATCTTCATCTCCTCGGCTGACTCAAGGTCCAGCTATACTCCCACTTTCTACTGAAAGACCTTCCCCATCACCCTTGAGGCTAGTGCCTTCCCTCTACTGATTATCTCCAATTCATCCTCTGTGTGTTTGTGTGTGTACGTGTGTGTGTGTGTGTGTGTGTGTACATAATCTTATTTGTGCACAGATCTTTGAATCCATCCTCTCCATTAGACTGAGAGTTCCTTGAGATCAGGGCCTTTCTCTTGCCTTTCTTTCTATCCTCAATACTTACTAAGTGTTGATACTAAGATACTAAGTATCTGGCACATGGGTGCTTAATAAAGGTTATTGAATGACTCGGAAAAAAATACAAAATTCTCTATATGTTACTCAAAGTCTTTCACAGTAGAGCTCTCATTTCTTAATACTCCCCACCACACTCTCCATTCCTGTCAATGTGACATGTTATCTGTTCCCCATATGTAATAGTACATCCTCCTCCACCATGCCTCTGCACAGGCTATGGCCCTGCCTTCTTTCCTCCACAATTCTGGTTTCACAAAGCACAGCTCAAGTTTCACCTCTTACACAAGGCCCCCCCTGATTCTCTCACTAATGAGGGCTCTTGACCTCTTAAAAATAACTTGATGTTCTATTGTACATATTTTGTACTTGCTTATCCCATGTCCATGTTGTGTCCACCAGTAGAATATAAGCTCCTTAAGGACACTGTTTCCATTTTTGCCTTTGTATTCCCCAAACCTAGCACCAGCACCTTGCACACGTGGCAGGCATGTAATACAAATGTTTGATGAATTATAGAAGAAAGAGTATTCTATAGAGTGAGTCAGGAGAGTTGAACCCCCACTTCTAAGTCGGTGATTTGCTAGCTCTCTTTTCTTGGACAAGAGGGCACATGTGACCCACAGACCTTGGATAGGGAGAGCCACTCAGAAGTCCCTGGGGCAACCTGAGCCTCCATTTCTTCTCATGTGGGGATAATAATGCTTGCACTATCATCCTTTGGGGGGTCATTGTGAGGATCAAATGAGATTATGTATATGAAGCTTGACATATTACCATAGGACCCTTCAACAGGAGCATTAGCCCTATTTC